AGAGTCGGATACGACTTAACAACTAAACAACAACAATTAAAATTTCTGATCAAGCAATCACAAAGGGAATTCAAAGAGAGCATACCAACAGCTACACCAGATACCAAGGACTGAGGCTGTCCACTAAAAAGTACATGATGCATAGCTTAGACAACCTGAAAACAGAAGCCTCAGCAACTGAATTACGGTACAGTAATATCTTCAGAGAAGGCAGACACTGCGTCTGATCTGTTGACAATCGGTAAGCTTCTGTATACTCTAAATGCAGTTACAATAAAGAGATGCACAACTCCCCAGGATAGTTACAAAAGCATGCAAGGGACCTCCTCTTCTCCCCAACATACACACACACACACATACACACACACCTCTATCTCTTGTCACAACTGTGTCACATTTAGATTAAGAAAGCATAAGCCCACCAACAAGGTAGTTCCTTTCCAGATTTGTAGAGGGGTCCTGGTTGTCAGCCTCAGTTATCCTCTTTCCAGCCTTCCACCCACTTGTCCGTCTTCTACATTTGTAATAAATGCAGATTACATGGATCTCAGAGATTTTTACAGGGCAGCTGCAAGACCTGCAGCAGATTCTCCTAAGCATTCTACTGACTTACCTCAATGCAACCGACGGGGGCTTATGCAGGGATGGAGACTCGAGTCATGGCACTCGCTATCAAGTCAGTCTTAACTCGCATGCTCTCTTTTTTTAACGACTTGGACTGGACTCACAACTCAGAACTCACCTACCCCCCTTCCTTCTTTCTGGAGAAAAAAGGTTTGTTTTTAATAGGGACTTGGACTTGGGACCAAAGACTTGGACTCAGACTTGGAACTCAAACCCAAAGACTTGCCAACATCCTTGGGTTTATGCCTGTGAAACATACCAAGGGTTGATGAAGTCCATTCGGGGCTTTGACGCAATTTTGTGTGGTCATCATTGAAAATCTGGCCCTGGGTGAGCATAAACAGAATTGTTTGAGTTTGACTCATGACAAGGTTCAGACCTGCAAAATTTTGCAGAATTTTGATACATATGAATGATGTCGGTATGTACCTAATGAATTAGAATTGGGCATACGAAAAGGAATGATGTCTCGAATGGCCGGTTGATAGGTAGTTGATAGGTATATTTTGCCACTGAGGCAAAATGAAGAGGAACCACTGAATACAATGGATAATATCTAGGTCTCATATACTTCAAACCTACAGCTGAAATCAAGCTACCCCAATTGTTTTCCATGTCCAGATAGTGATCGACACCTCAAACAGATGATATTTTGCAACCTGGAATGCAGAAGGGGAACTGCTGGATCGCTCAGTGGTTGGACGTTGGACTCCCCACTGTGCCCTCCTTGACAAGGACTGGACTCAACGACCCATAATGTCCATTGCAGCTCTGCAGTTCAAAGATGGTGATTAAAATCTCACTGTACTTAATTTGAAGATACTTCATTGGTCTGCCACAAAATAAAAGTGTTGCCAGGATAGGAAAGGAATAAGACAAAGTCGAGGAATAAAAAGTGAGAGCCACATGCAAGCACTTACTAGGGTCGTCGTATAAATTATTAGGACCACAAATCTTATGTCCATTTCCTTCCTCTGCCAGTTTAAAGGCATGGTAAGTGATATGGCAGATCATTATTTCTGCCATATCTCATCCTCGCCCAGGAAATACAGACTGTCGGGGCAAAGCCCATATCGTTTTTGCTGGTGGTGCTACAGAGCTCCCCTCCCCCAGATGGCAGTTTCTAAAAGTGTATTAAAAAGAGGGAGGAAATGCAGCCTCTTTAATCCATATTTCCTAAAGCCCTCCAAATAAGCATCACATTAGTACTTATTTAGGAAAATTATTTAAAAGGGAGATTAAGAGTCGAATGGATTGAGCAGTCACTGCGGCTGTGCGTAGGGGTGGTGGATCCAAGGGAGTTCAGCCCTAGAGCCCGTCTTTCATTGTGTGGATACGAGAGAGGAAACCGGAGGGACTTTTCAAGTGTAAGCTCATATTTACCTACATCTCCCTTTCCCCTGGAAACCAACAATGAGGACCAATCTTGGCATAAGAGAAATGGGGGGGGGGAGTTTGCTTTTGACAGCAACAGTGCAGGAGAATATTTAACATTTGTGGAACAGAAAGGAAAGGAAACTAAGACATCGGAAGTCCAACCTGCTAAAATGTAGCAGGTATTCATCAGTCAGCCTGGTCTCAGGCTCGGCTCCCCAGGACTGAAGCTTTGTTTCTAGAGAACACGTTAAATGCATATGGAGATTTTTTTTTTTTGAAGAACAGCAGCAGCATGCTTTTCGGGAACCATCATTCTGTTGGTGCTGCTGGCACCTTGTGCTTGTCATCCCTACAGATGGTCAGAATGCATTCAAGAGGAGTAAAGTAATGTTGCTGCAGAATGAGGAGTACTCAGGGCATTTTCTTCCAGGATGTTCTCCTGAAAAACCTCCACGGAAAATGAACGAAAGCTGTACAGCCAGCTCCAGTTCATTTCCATTGAACTTGTGGTGGAGAATTTCCCAGATGTGTGTGAACACACAGACACAGACACAGACACACGTGTGTCTATAGCAGCTTCTGCCCCAGTCTTTCACTGCAGTTTACTGAACCAATCTGAAGGCTCAGTTGCAGAGCAGTTGTTCTGTGCTTGAGCGGTCCCATGATCCCAGGACCGGGAGAAATTGCTTGAATCACAACAGTGGAGAGCCCCTGTTCCTGGTCTCTGTTGACAAGACTGGGCAAGATGGCCCAGTGGTCTAACTGGACTCATGATTCCTCCTCGTTGTCTGTCCATTTCACATCCTCAACCCCTCTTTTTCGCCTCCTTTAGTTCACACAAGTAGGTGTCAATTAGAATGCACTTTAATAACTTGTTCTTATGACCCATCAAGTCACTTCCGACTTGTGGCAGCAATCGTAATAAGGGTTTTAAGGCAGGAGAGAGCGGTTTTACCACTGCCAGCGCCTCGTCAGCGTTCCATGACCACAGTCCTCCTGTGACACTAGCTGCACCACACTAACTCTCTTTCAGTACCTACACTATCTCTCTCTCTCTCTCTCACACACACACACACACACACACACACACACACAGAGGGTGCGATGCAGACAGCTAAAGGTGACAACTTAGGGTGGGATCAAAACTTAGGTTTAAGTCTCCCATTTAAATCAAGTACATTTCAATAGCATTTTAATTGGTGTGGATCATGCCCACTGCTATCATCACTAGGGACGGGGACTTGAGTTGCAGGACTCACCGTCAAGTCAGACTTAAGTTCCACCAGTGACTCAACTTGGACTCAAATCAGGGTGGGCGGGATATAAATCAAATCAAATCAAATCAAAGTGACTGACTCCACTCACAACGCAGAACCCACCCACCTCCTCCCTTTTTTCTGGGGGGAAAAGGCTTGTTTTTAACAGGAACTCGGAACTTGGTACCAAAGACTTGGACCCAAAACTTGCCAACATCCCTAATCATCGCAATCTAGAAAATGAACCAAACCGAACCCGTGGAAATACAGAGAAACTGCCTGGGAGGGGAGGGCCCGTAAATGTTGCAGATTTAAAGGATCCAAAGGTAGGAGAAACAAGATTAGGGAACAGAAGAAGAAAAGTGTCAGGAGAGTGGAGGAAAATCTACTTCTGTTACTTAATTCAAGAATCCGTCCAGAGGGGAAGAAGGTAATGCAACGCCCTCCCCAGGAAGCGACATCAGGTTTTTTTTTGTCTTGTCTTGTCTTTCGGCCACCATCCCTACTAATAACCATCATGTGCCATGAAGTCAGTTCTGACTTATGGCCAGCCGTTTTAGGGTTTTCCAGGCGGCGAGTACTCCGAAAGCGGTGTGTCCTTCCCTTCTTTCTGGGGGCATCCTGGGATTGTGCAGCTTGTCCCCAAGGCCACAGAACAGGCTGGCTCTTCTCCAGGAGGCACCGTGGGGGAAGGAGGGGGGACTCGAACTCCCGCCCTCGGGGCTCTGCAGCCAGAGACCTAAACCAGGGAGCTACCCAGCCCAGCTGCCATGCATCCTCGCTGGTCCAAAGCTCCTTTCCCGCCAAACTGGCTCGCTTTTCTTCGGCCCTCCATCTCGAGACTCCACGGCACGTCTAGTTATTGTTCGGAATACAGTAGTCTTAATTGATAGAGGCATTGTTACGCAATCTCTTCCCCCCCCTCCCGCGCCGTTCCTTTCGAAGCAACAGTTGGGAGCCCGGGCAAAGCGTTATCTATACCAAATTAGGGCCGTAATCGTTTGGCGCCCGGTGCGGGGAGCGGCGAAGGTGGTGGAGGAGGAAGAGGAGGAGGAGAGCGGGAGGGCACCTCTGTCACCCGGACAAGTCTCCCTCCCTGCAGGGAGCTCGAGCTCAGACACGCGAAAAGAAAAAAAGGGGGGAAATGCAGCTTAAAAAGGTCGCCTTTGGATTAACCAAAAATAAATGCAAAGTGTCCTGCCTGCCTCATGCGATGTTACGCAAGGTGCTAGATGGGCGATGTAAATACAGACACCCGGCGAGCCGTAACAGGCCGTTTTTGTTCCATTTTGGTTTTTTTCTGGTCTGTAAGTCAAATCTCAGTCTGCAAGTCAAACCTAAATTTTGCGGCCAGAGACGTCTGTAACTCAAAAAGTCTGTAAGTCAAGGGTCCACTGTACCTTTGTTCAGTCATCAACTCTAATGAGGATTGCAGCCAAGAAATTAGAAGACTAAGACTTGAAAAGGCAGCAGTGAAGGAACTAGAAAAAGATCATCAAGTGTAAGGATGTGTCATTGTAGACAAACACCAAGATCATCCGCACTATCATATTACCAGTCACCAGGTATGGATGTGAAAGCTGGACACGGGGGGGCGCGCCTGCGTCTCCAGGCGGGTGACATTGACAAGGTGGCGGGAACGGCGCCTGTTGGGTGCCCGCGTCGCGTCCCTCCCCGGCGAGGCGCTCTGGCGGCGGCGGCGACGAAGAAGAAGAAGAAAGTAAACAAACCGGGGCTACTCACTAGAGGGTGACTGCCGATGTCTCGGGCTGCATCCCCTGCGTGGCGAGGCAGGTCCAGGCTTTTCACGGTCGTCGAAGGAAAGGTGATTTGGAAGAGTCCCCCGCCGCCGCCGCCGCCGCCAATTTCCCCGCCCGCCCTGGACGTCTCCCCAATCCCAAGGGGGGAGGGAGGGAGGAAGGCGAGCGCTCCCCTCCACTCCTTCAGCTCCTCGTCCTCCTCCTTCCCGCCGGCATCAGGGAGGCGACCGAGTGGCGCGTGAGGCTCGCCCCCGGGTGCCTGGGGGTGGGGGTGGGTTTGTCAGAAGCGCATCTTTTCGGCCAAGGGGGAGCAGCTGAGCCGCGATCTTTCCCGGGGGCTGGGAAGGGAGACGGGAGCGGGGGAAGGAGGGCTCCTCAGATCCGGCTCGGGCAGCCTCCGGAGGCTAAGGAAGGGTGGCAGAAAGTCCTCCGTCGGGACTCGCCCTTGGGGCAGGCAGGCAGGCGACGGGGCAGGCGGGCTGTAGGCTCTCGATGTGCGTCTCCTTCCACAACCCTTCATCTCCCTCCCCGGCCATCCATCTCCCCGGCCAAGGTGGAGAAGACGGAGGGGACGGCAGAGGAGATCTTAGACAGTAAGGCGGCGTCGGCGGCGGCTTCTTCTGCTGGTGCTGCCCAGGTCGCTGGCAGCAAGACCGGCAGGCAGATGTCCTCTCTTCCTCCATGCGGAGCCGCCCGGGCTGCCATCCCCTCCCCTCTAACCCTGCCTGAACCCTCCCGCAACTTGGCGCCTCGGCTTTAGGCCAGTCCCACGTAGGGACAGGTGGCTCCGATTAAAGCTGCCTTGCTCCGTCTGCGCGGGCACGGCTCCCAGTTTGGAGCAGGAGGAGGAAGCAGGGGGAGTGGAGCTGGAGAGGGGTGGGGGTGGGGGAATGCGGAGGCAGTGGCCTTTGCCGCCACTTGTCCGCCCAGAAGGTCTCCGTCCTCAGGGGGTCCGTCCGCCTTCGCCTGCTCCCCTACTCCAGAAAAGATCGCGCCGGGCGGGCAGATCCCGGAGCGGAGCAACTTCGCCCTCCTTCAGAAAGCCCGAAACAACCGATGTCTATAAATAAATAAATAAAAAGAGTAAGGTCTCGGATGCCCCGATGTGCGCCCTAAAAGACACGCGCGATGCAGGTTGTGCCCGCAAAGGCTGCAAAGCCCGGCGCCTCCTGCCGCCTGGCTGGACCCGAGATCCCACCGGCAGGAGCTAGTCAGTAGGGTGGCCGTGGTAGTCCACCGGCGAATCGCGGGACAGACGCCCAGGTGCCCAGCCGCCCAGCTGCCTACCCCGCCCTTCTCCCCAGGCTCCGGCTGGCGGGAGCTCATCTCTGCCCTTCGGCAGCGTAGCATCCTCGTCCCTCTTTCGCCCCGTTGCCATCCTCGGCCTCCCGCGCTTCCCCTGCCAACGCTTGTCCCAGCTCCCCATCAAGGGCTTGGCGTCCCACCAAGGTCCTCTGCCGCCGCCTGTCCCTTTAAGACGGCTCGGACCCTGCCCTTAAGGAGTGGGAGGTGGGAGGGGCTTGCGGGGAAGGGAGAGGTAGCCCCCTCCCCGGCTACGCAACAGGAAGGAGGGGGCAAGACAGGAGCAAAGCCCTGGGCTTCCGAAGCCTCCAGCTGTTGCCTGGACCCAGGCTAAAGTCCGATGCCATGTGACCAGGCGGCTTTTAATTTGCAAAATTGGAGGGAGGGGCAATCAAGCCTAAGGAGGGGGGAAAGGAGGGCAAGAAATTCCTAGGGGAGAATTCCCAATGAAACCTTTCCTTCGCCCCATCTTCTGGGTAGGAAAGAGTAGGAAATCTTGAGAAAGGGGGGTGAGGGTGGAGTGATTTGCAAAACGCTAATGCAGCCTTGTTTCCGTGTGACTTGGGTTCAAGTGTGGTGACTCATCACAAGCCGTCCACCGTAAGCACGGCCATGTTCGGGGCAAGTAACATAGCTTCAGGTGTTAGAGCTGGTTGATTTTAGAATCACCAGATCCCTGCGTTTCAGAACTGAGGATAAAACTTGGCACATATGCATTTAGCCCAGCCTTTTGGAAGATGCTGGAGCCCATTCATTGTTTCCACCAACAAAAAACATTATTTCTACCCATAGCTTTAAGAAACCAGTCAGCAGCTTCTTATAGCATCAGAAATACCTTTGAAAAACTAATTTCTCCAGTTTTTGAAGAAGTAACCATATTAGTCTTCCTTAGTCAGACTAACAAGAGAGAGACAGAGAGAGAGAGAGACGTTATGGCACCTTCAAGAGGAACTGCTATATTTCAATGTGAACTTTCATGGATCAAGGCTCACTCTTATGTCTGAAGAAATGGACTTGATCCGGAAAAGCTCACATTAAAATATAACAGTCTTTAAGTTGCCACAACCCACCCACCCCCTCTCTTTCATTCTCTCTTTTTGGTCTGATATCATTTTCCCCAGGTCTCTTTCAGCTACCAAATCCACATTCAGGCTGAGTGAGACAATAGCCACACAGAGGGCAGATCCTCAGGAAGGCAAGCTTGACAGTCACCTAGTCAGAGCCATAACTGGCTTTTTTTTTTTTTGGCACCTTGAGCAAGTCGCAACACACACACATTACACTCTGAGGCATATGGATGGGCCTCCCCCACCCCACCCCACCCCAGAAGAAAAAAGCAGGAGGAAGAGAATGTTGTATCCCCTGAAAAGAAAGAGTATTTGGGCAGTCAAAAGAAAAGTGAATAGAGCCAGAAAGTATTGTCATTCCCACCGCCTCCTCCCCACCTCCAGCAGCATTCAGCAGTAGAGCTCTACTGTATTTTGGTATCTATGGGGCATCTTCTTATGATGCCTTTGGGACAAACCCTCCACTGCCCTTTTTTTACATTCCTTCCCTGGGCCATTCCACCCCTCCTCTTGAAAGATTGAGCTGTGGGTGGCACACAAGCTGTCCCACACCCTCTATACTAACTAGCTTTTCCTCACAAGTATTGGCAGGTATTATTACGTCCCTAGTTTTGGAGTCAGATTCAGCTCCCATTCCAGTCAAAAATCTGTGCAGTGGAAGGTGGGGGGGGTGAGGGACCAGTTTATCTTTTTTGCCTCAGGCAGTAAGATGCCCTGGGCTAACCTGCCAATAGTAAGAAGAAAATGCCAAGCAACTTCCCTTGAAAGCAGGACACCCGAAATGATGAACTGTGTGCCCCTTCGCATTTTATTTAAGGGAGCCTTCATTTCATATAGGAAAGCCTTTTCAAAGTCCCCGTAACGGCACACACTGCAGTTTTAAAATGTTGTGCATCAGGGGCTTGGAACTTTAAGGAAATCATTTTCACAACATGGCTTTCTAAACCTGTATCCCAAGTGGTTTATATGCAGTTTCCAAAAGGCACACAGAAGGAAGTTTTTTTTTTCTTTTTGAAATGAAAGTGACGATTGCATCAAGACCGTGATTGGGAGACTTGCGGCTGTCATTCAGTTTTTCCATTCTGAAATGTGCTCTCTGGGAGGACAGAGAGCAAAAACAGAAGTCATCCCAGAGAACCCAATGAAGTGTGTTCCTTCAAAAATACCACCTCCCTGCTTGAACAGCACACCTGCCCTTTGAGGGATCCATTGAGGGAGATCAAGTCCTGCATACGGGATGGGATGAGCTCTCCTGCCTTGGGCAAGGGGTTGGATTAGAAGACCTTCAAGGTCCCTTCCAACCCTACAATGATTCTATGAATATTTATTTGTACATTTAGAGTGGGAGGTTCAGTGTAGCAGTGGGGAGATCCCCACATGTTGCTAAAACTTACCAACCAGTGTGTTAAACTTGCTTAGAAACCAAGAGCAGTCCAACTGGTCATATGCAAAAGTCCAGCCAGGTAACCAGATGATTAAAACCGACGATATTCCATAAGAACATTTGGACACAGAGCACAGTGCTTTTGAGTCTCCCTTTTTAAATACTTTTCTGCAAAAAGTACTAGTCAAGAGAGAGCAGAAAGGGAAAGAGAGAGTCAGTTTTATTTTAAATCGGAACATGCATTCCAGGCAAAGTTGAGCTTTACATATGGATTACAGAGAGATGGGATAGGAATAGGTCCATCACCAGCTCTGTCCAGCTCCTTCCTCCATCACCTGGCAGCAGACATTCCTTCTGACTGAGGCAAGAGAGCAAAGAGAAGCAGAGACTTTCCATCATCTCTCCTGAAAGCAAAAACAGCCCTTGCACATAATCCATCATTGTAAGTGAAAATTCCTCAACTACCAAAAATCTGGGAGCATACAGCTAAAGCTTTTCTCACTTCAGTAATTTGCAGATCAGTGGTTGACCTTCAGGACTTAACCACAGAATTCCTTTGAAGTATCAACTTCTAAAACACAAAAGTCTGTCTCAAATAAGTGTCTGAATCACATCTTTCCAACACTAGCACACTTTCAACTGTAGTCCACAGACTATAACATCTGTTTCTACCTTTAAAAACAGCTGTTTATGGTTCTTCTTGCACATTTTTTCTTCCTGCTGGTTGTTTCTAAAGACTTTATAAGCCCAGAGACCCTTGGGTAGAGTGGACGGCATATAAGTTAAATACATAAATAAAAAATAAAAACCAGCATATGCCTTTCTTTTTCTCCTCCCTCCAAATCCTCTTTCCTCTTGTGTCATGACTTCTAGCTTTTAAGCTTGAGGGCACAAGCTATCTTACGATCCCTGTGAGCCATTCTGGAAGCCTTTTTCAGCTGAAGAGTGAGGTTTTTAAAAAGCTAACAAAATGCAAAAAAGAAAAAAAACACATTTCCTTTGGTTAAACTGGTTGTCAAGGATCAACAGGAGAAATATCAAAGAGAATTAAGGACAGGCAGAGAGACTTCCTCTCTTTCTCATCAGGCCAAACTATAATAAACATGTATTGTAGTTTTCTGCTTCCCGACAGAAGATGTAGCATCTGGATGAAACCCAATAACATCTATCAGACGCTGTAACTTTATCATGTCTCAATCAGTGCTAAAAACATGGTACCACAAAGCTTTTCTCACTTCAGTAATTTGCAGATCAGTGGTTGACCTTCAGGACTTAACCACAGAATTCCTTTGAAGTATCA